TTTTCGTTATATTATTTCGTTGAAACATGAATTATATTATTTATTTATACGAAAAAACCATTCTGAAAAATATTTAGAGTCCATAATTAATTTTCATTTATTTCACATCTTACTTATTTAATATAAAATAAATACAATTTTTATACAAAAATAAACAAAGCATGCAAAAATTGTATGTTTTTAAATTTAAAATAAATAAAAGAATATTTTTATATAACGTTTCTTTAGATTTAAATAATATTAAAAATAAATAATTTTTATTTAAAAAATATTCTATTATAAAGTTATTGTAATTCGTATTTTGGAGAGCCACATTCAAACGTATTTGTACTGTTCAATTTAGAATTACATACAAGTCTTTTCATCTGAAAGTAGTTATAAATAATTATAAATATAGTAATGGAATTTTGTAAATGCACTAACTTTATGTGCTGATAATTATTTATTTATTTGGGTCATTTGCTTGTATGAAAAAGATTTGGTAAGCCTAAATTTTGGTGTGTTTCGATAAGGTCGATAGAATGTTTTATATTCTGTGACTGCATTGGTGGTAAATTTGATATTTGTATTTCGTGTCGAAATAATTGATTAATACTTCGCCCAACAAGATGTGTAGTAATCTTTTTAAAAAGATCCTTCTTCGTTTTATCAACCTTATTTCCTTTAACTGAGGCTACAGACATTTTTTCTTCAAATTTTCGAATATCAGCTATATTAACGCTTGGTACATACTGTAATATTTCTGTAAGCACACAAAATCTCGGTCGCAATAGTTCATAAAATTGTACCCCAAGTGTTATAAGTCCTGCTTGGTTAGTTTCATGTTGTCCATGTATTTGGAGCCCTTGTAAAACTGCAGTAAAGGCACTTGCAGCTTTGTTAACATCGATGAGTTGTTCAGCAGCTAAAAACCGCATGACTGGAGCTAATATATTAACAGCCTTTTTACTACAAATACCGTCATTCCAAGATAGTGCACTTAGTAAAGTTCTTAAAATATAGTTACTAGTAATAGTATTTTTTAGTAATTTCGCTCCTAAGTCACTTATAATATCCGATAATAGTGCTGACTGTGTAGCACGAGAATGAGTAACGCCATCCATTGAATGCTCGTCGTGATCCATTACATCAATTGTGGTACAAGCGACATTATCTGCGCTTATCTGACCACCAACTAGTGCTATTTTTAAAATATCTAAGTATTCTCTTGTAAGGGTTCGATTTAACATATCTTCTAATACCTCTTGTGAATCGTTTAGTTCTTCACTGAGCTGCCCGGATTCATATAGAGATGTTATGTAGCACCATCGTGTCATTAGTCGGTCACACATTAGAGGTGTAATATGGACAAATAAAGGCAAAAGAACTGTATCGTAAAAAGCAGGCGGACACGAATAAACAAATGGTTTAAAAAATACACGAATTATAGGACGTAAGCGATGATCAGGAACTTCCTCTAAAGAGGCAAAAACACTACTTATTAAGGCTTCTGCAATACATTGTAGTTGATACAAGTCTCGTCCCAAAGATGGACCAGTCGATCCCAGCATATGATAGCATCCTTCATAAATTAATGTCATAAAGTGCTGCATTTTATCAAATGGGGTGTGTTGTTTTTTAATTGCAGGGTCCAGTGGATCAGTAGGCACGCTGCATACACCCATCAAGTTTTTCTTTTCATGTTCCAACATTGTATGTATATTTTTGTATCCATCAGAAAGTGTTTCCAGCGCTTCACGCCTAAAGAGCTCATTCAATATGCGAAGTAATGGTAGAATGTGAGGCAATAAGGGAATAATATAAGGTGAAGCTGGATTGCGATATATAGGATTTCCAAGTTCAGTGAATCCAACAACAAAACCACCACGTGAAGCACGATCAGGATCATCAGGCCATGAACATCGCTTAATTACACCAAGCACGATATACAATGCTTCTATAATGTTTCCTCGATTGGCACAATTTGGGTCACTTTCAAAAGGATATACTGGAGCTTTGTTTAAACCCACATAGTTCATAAAATCAAATGCCGATTTAAATACATTTGAAAATGTTGTCCAGCGATGCAAAACGTCCTTCAATATATCACCTATAAATGCAGACTGACGTTCGTAATCACAGAAATGATTGGAAATAAGTATAAGTGCTTCCTGCAAAGTAATTCTTTCCATTTTGCTTATTTGATGTTGAGGTTGTTGTACTATAGTCTTCACGTGTAAATTTATTTGATCGAAAACTGGTAACAACAACAATGGATATTTATGGCCTAACTTTACCATTAACGATGCCGCATGCCGACGTAAATTTTTACATGCTTGTAGACGATTCGAATTTTCTTTCGCATAGATATGCTTGTCATTATACACCAATGCCGTAAAAATTTTATCCAGCACTCTCGGCAAAAGTGAAACTCCACTCATAGCAACTACGTTGTTAGAACTTATTTGACAAGCAGACATACTAAGAAAAACAAAAAGCGCTGATATACACGACAACAATACAGAGAGTATCAATGGATTGTTTGTTTCTATTTTTAAACATTGCTCAAGAAGTTGTAAGCCTGATTGCACTGATGGACGTTCTGATACCATTAATATACGGCTGACTACACTATCAATTACAGAAACAAGAGCTTCCCATTCTAAATAAATTGGGTCTTGAACACTACAAGATTCATTTCCTGTTTCGGTATGAGCTTTTGATAAGCGAACATTCAACCATTGTTCACAGCATGCAAATGTGATAAGCGGTTGTATCAATGTTGTTTGTCTAAATAGTTCCAGGATATCAGCACGACATCGATGATAAAAAATAGCAAATTCTTCTTCACTGTCAAATTCTAAACAAATATATGCTGCCGTGCTTATATTCAGTGGTATGGTACGACTATTTGGATACGATGTTTTAATAATTTTAGGTGCAATAACTTCAATGAGTTTTTGCACGTATATATTTATAACATTATCTTTTGCAATGGCATCGTGCTTAATCAGAATATTCCATATAAGACAAGCACCATGAGTTATAGTCAAAGAGGGATGTCGTGTCAAAGATAAAATGCATTCTAAAAAGATTTCAAAATGAGGAGGTCTATGCATTGTACCTTCTTCCTTTCCCCAAAGTACATACAATTGCTGAGCCATTCCATTTAAAACAGTAATTATTTTTTTTAAAAATATGTGATTTTGTTCAATAGACGTAGGAACTGTTAAATCTGGTAATACTTGGCTAGCACTGAATATATAACGCATTAATTCCTCTCCAAACAACATTAATAATGGTTTCCTTTCTTTTAACTGTCCTTTCCGATTTGTAATTTGCGACAAACATTCAGCGGAGTTACATTGAAAGGCCTTATCGTTTAGTAGTATACATAGTATTTGAAGCAATTTACCATTGCTACACATAATATGACTTATTGAAACCCACTCAACAAATCCAGTTACAGTTAATAATACCATATCCACAACGCGACTATGAGCTTTAGCTCTTTGATAATTTGTATGTGTTGTAGCTTCGCGAAATGCAGTCACATGGAGTTCCACAAGCCGTAAAAAAAATTCAAATATATCATTCATGTTATTCGTAAGAGCTTGGTACATATCTTTTCGACGTTGATTTGACTCTATCGTCTGAAGTATCGCAACATCTTCCACTAATCTTAAAAATACTAAAAGTACTAACTCTGTTTGACATTCTCCTTTTGTACATGCTTCGGAAAGTTCGGATAATAGACTTGTCCATTGCTGTGGCCATTCTCTCTTTATCATTTCAACAATTATACGCGATAATGCATCTTTCAAATGAGCTAAACTGGCGTCCTCTGCAGGACCTACTCCCAATAATAGCAACTTCATGGCATTTTCTTTAATAAATATTTTTTCTTCGTGTGCGATGCAATTCCACTTCAGCTTAATAGTATACTCCATTAGCTGGAGTCCAAAATGTTTGACATTTTGTCCAAAGTGAGGTGCACTAGCTAAGTATAGCCCTACTTCAGCACATAGAGGAGATTCCTCTTTAAATCGTTCGCAAGCAATGTAAGCTTCCATACGAGCTTGTTGAGTTGTTTGTGGATGCATTATCAAGTCAACGGCTTTTGCAAGCTCCTCAGCTAAAGCAGTTGTTGATGAATGTTGTGTCATTGTTTTGTGATTTCAACTGTAAGATTAGAATTTAGATGTTATTTCTCCTTTACATTAAAAATTCTATTATTACTCACGTTCTTCTCCTTTACATTAAAAATTCTATTATTACTCACGTACTTCTCCTTTAAATTTAATTAAATAAATTAAATTTTACAATCGGACATTGAATTTGAATTTTTTTTATTATTTATATTAATTTGTTTGCATCATAAATTCAAGAAATTCATTATATACAAAAAATGTGACATATTTTTTTCCAAAAACTTCGGCATAACACACTTTGTTCGAAAAAGTAAGTTATGTTCGGGTTGCAAAGATGTAATATTTTTTATGCAAGTGTTTTATTTTGATTTATATTGTTTGTATACATTTTGATATTTTTAAAATTTTATGTGGATGTCTGATTCTTTATAATTTATTTTTAATTTTAAGTCTATTATTGAAAATTAAAAAAAATTTTTTTTGTATCAAACAAATTTATTTTAAAAATATGTTTTGAAATACGACCATTCAATATATAATTTAAATACTCACTGAACGTACTATATGTATATTGAACGATTGATTTAGATAAACGAAGTGGCGCGGTGGTAAAGCAAATGTATTTCAGAACACACTTCTATGAAAACATAAATAAATATTGAAATGAAAAATGGATTGGTATGAGATTGATGTTGATGCAGAAAATTGTGTAAAATTTAATGAAAACTCTCTGCCCTGGGAAAATCATGTACTAAATAATATTGGTGGTAAGCATGAAATTCTTATTAAATTGTAATAAATGAATATTTTGTTAAATTTTTTTAAGCGAATGATCTAGGTGGTGTTATTAAAAATGGCGAATTGGCTTATCTTGCAAATAATTACAAACTTAAAATTGTATCTCTTCGAAATGGTCAAGCAGTATCATCGTATGAATTTTTAGAGGAAAACGGCTTTGGACATTATTGTATTCGGCATATATGTGAAATTTTATGCGAAAAGCTTGGAACTATATTAGCAATTTGTTTACATAATGTTAGAACTTTTAAAGACAGTGTTGTTGCGATATATTCTGTTGAACAGAACAGAATTTTTGAATCTTTTGCATTGGAATTTAATATTTCCATCATATATTATATATCGCCACCAGTTTCGAAGAAGTCATTACTTCAACGATTCGATGGATGCCTGGCAATTGGCTCTGCTTCAGGAACTTTAGTACTGATAGATTTAAATTTAAGCAAAACCATGTCGTCCCACCAGCTTGAGTGTGAAGACCACAATTTAAAGAAAGATTGCCGATTTGTAAATTATACACAGCCTTTTGAAGAATCACTTCGACAGTTTGATGAATGTAGAGCTAAACAGGTTCACTTTGGTATTCAAATGGAAGGTAAAAAATTGCAAAAATATAATTAACGTTTCTAAATAAAGAAAGTTTGTGAAATCAATAGAATTATTACTTTTATTAAATTATGGATTTAGAATTTTCACAAGTTTTTTTTATGAAATATAATTGTGATAAGGTAATTAATTTTCAAACATATTTTTTTTTATCTATAGTGTTGGAACTTTCGAGTTGTGTAACAAGTATATTGCCAATTAATATTTCAATGTCGCTAGCAGTTGGATACGCAGATGGTAAATTGGTTATTTATGATATGATTGATTTAGAGATATATCATGTTGCTTTACCGCATCCAATGCAAAATAAATCACCGTTAGTTAAAATGGATTATTTGGAGCCTCCAGACGATCCACGTTCATGTTTATATATTTGGACTATGCATGAAAGCCCACATCATTTGACAGCTTCTTTACATACGTTGACATATCAAACACGTTTAACCGATAAAGATGGTCATAATAATTATAAGGTAAGGTTGTTACTATTTAACATATAGTAAAAGTTCAATAATTTCTTAAATATTTTAAGGATTTTATAAGTGGATCAATATGTTTGCAACTGCCTTTAGAACCTACAAAAAGTCATGCCTTATCTTGTCAATCAATCTACAAGTTTCGTGACGAGAATGATTCTTTTTGCTTATCTGTTTTAACATGGTATTCCGACATCGAAGAAAAAATTAAGCTTGTAGTATTCGATTTAAACCAATGGTACAAAGAGGAAATGCCAATAACAGTAAATCAGCGAAATTATAAAACTTATTTAGCTGGTTTTATATTAAGTGGAATAGATTGTGTCTTATATTCTTTTGTAAGCCCCAATAGTATTGCTCCTTTCAATTCAATTCAGCGAATTGAAAACCATTTTTTTCCGAATTCATTAAGTTTTGGTATGTTTCTATTTTTAACTTACAACTCCATAATTAATTAGAATTGTCAAATATTTATTATTAAAATGAAGATTGCGTACTACTGCTTCCAAATTGTTATCAAAGCTATAGATGGGAGGGGATTCAAAATAAAGTGATTAATCTCTTACGATGCAGCAATTCTTCAATATTCCTTGAACAGGATTTATATTATAATGAAATACTACGAACAGGACTATTACCTCAGTTTTTTGAATTAAACACTAACAAATTGGATTTAAGAGTACGTAATTATGAACATTAAAAACTTAATTTAAAAAATTTTTTTTAATATTGACTATTTGAACTTAATGGGTTTTTTTAGAAAGAGAAATATTATGCAATATTGTCAGTGGCATTGGAAAATAATTGTGTTAATCTTTTACGTGATTGCGTCAAGAGCTGGAGTGATGGTAGTTTTATGGGTAGTGTAACTGAAGTTACTGGGCTATCTGTTACGTTAATGACTCAATGGATTATGAGTCGAGCTACTAGTATAAAAAAACGTTGCAACGATTTATGTAATGGAGTTTTTGATTACGTTGGGTATTCACTTGATTCTAAGGGACAAAAGGAGTTGGGGTTTCTTTCACGTCAATTAAAACTATTAGCAGATCTTGTAAATTTAATAATATCTTTATCTAAGCAAAAATTATTAACAAAAGGTATAATTTATTTAAAAAACGTAAGTAGGTAAACTAATAAATAGACATTCTTATAGATTTAAAAGAGAAGCATGTGCATTTACAAGCAGCCGCTGAATATCATGAAGTTTTGCTATGGTTATTCAATATTGGCCTATTATCGGAAGTCTCACCTAAAATGTCTCAATCTGATCAATTAGTATCATATCCTTATTCAACGTTAAAGGACATATATTCCAGAAAACGTATTCGTTTTGCTAACATCAATGATAGTTTTGTATCAAAAAAAACGGGAAGCTGTCGTCTGTTATTTATTGATGCTTTTATTGATCATGAATGCAAAGGCAATATGTTAAGAGAGCATTGGTTGGAAAATAATGGTAATGGTCTATATCCTCCAACATCAATTGAATATATGTTGCGGTTGCTACTTATTCCTGAAATTGATTTTGATAAAAAGTGTGCAATTTTATTATATTTTTTATTGGATTTAAATATCGCAGTTGACGACGCATATAAGAACGTTGTAAATTTTATTAAGTTTCCAAGTGTTTTTAAAATGTCTGCATCCTTAATTAAAACAGTAGAAACGTTTTGGCATTTGGATCATGATCAGTATTTGGTACGTAGAATTAACAAAAAGCGTATTTAATTTTTTTAGTTAATGTCAGCAATTTAGAGTAAAAAACTTTCATTTTGATTTTATGTAAATTATATATAGATTTGGGTGGCCGTAATACATATGTATGGGGGCAAAAAAATGTGTTCAAGTTAATTTTATTAATCCAATCAGTCAAAAGTTCATATACAGTATCAGCAATTTCTTTTCCTACTGAAGATGTCATTTTTGGGATACCTAGCAAATGTATTCATGACTAACTAAAATGGGTAATCTCTCAGTTGTGTCCCTTCCTGTTATATCTGGAAGAACTTTTCCCTCCCACTGTGCAATACCACTCTGCAACTGGTAAACTGAAAATATTAAAAATAATGAATGTATTATAAAGATACTTGTATATTGACAATATTTCACACCTTAAAACTTAATTTAATATCCGTAGTTCGCTCCTTTCTGGTTAACTTGCGTTTGCCTTGTATTGTGGTGCGATTGAGTATACACTCATCGACAGGAATGTTTAATGCCTTTAGTAATAATTTAGTTAATTGTAGACCTTATTTAATTTGTGGTTTTTGCCTTATTTGAAAGCTAATATGCTAAAGATTAATTTTGATTTGGTACAAATAGTTATAGGTGAAATACATGCGAGATGAGAACGAAGAAATTTGAAAAAAGTGAAAAAAGTTGAATTTTTCCGAAGTTTAAGGTCGATGAGCGACCTCTAAATGCTATCCGATTAGTCTAAAACTTCACATTTAGTAGTTTTTTGAGTATTCGAATAAATTTAGTGGGTGGCATCTAAAATATGAACACATTCGTAAATAATGGCCACCCTAATATAGATATATTGTTTTATTTTTGTTAAGATTTTTTTTTTATTGTTTAATAATTATTTGTATATTTCCAGCTAGCCGTTAACGAGTTTATTTCACCATTCAACAATAATAATGACTATCCTCATTGGATAGTTGAGTTACTTATTGAAGCATTGCTTGCGCAAAAACAGGAATATTTAGCGTTACGTGTAATTGGTTCCTATCCTACGTTTGTTCCACCGATATTAAAACTTAAAACATTTCTTTTGAATGATTTATTATCTGAAGCTTTTCATTTTGCCCGATCTAAAAATGATGTTACTTTACTTGAATATTTTTTTACCTATTGCTTACGATCAGGAAAATATAGTGTCATACGAGAGTTTGTTCTGAGTGAAAGAGAAGGGCAACTAATTCAAAATCTCCTTAAACGTAACAATACTGATTATTCGGAAAGTCTTAATTTTGTTTATTTATTGCAAAAATCTAAATATATTGATGCTGTTTCTTATTTGGATGATCTTGCAAAATCAAAATATAATCATACAAAATTAGTTGCATCATATTTTGATACTCCAAATTTAGTATCGACTTTTAACATCACCATGACACCAGTTACTCAAGATTTAACTGACGTATTTTTTCGAATAAGAAATAAAATAAAGAAAAAAGAGACGGACAATAATTCTCCAGTACCGTTTAGTTGTCAATTAATAAGACAAAACGCTAATGATTTACTTGGAGGAATCTATCATAGTTCCGCTTTAAGTGCACATTTTGCAACATGTTACTTTGATGAAGTAAATGTAGCTATTAAACGTGATCCTAAAATAATTCTAAATCCAAACGATGCACCGTTTTTAAGAAAGCCTCAGTTTTTTAATTTACACCATTCGATGCCATTAAAATCCAACACTATCTCCTATCCACAAATATACAAACAAAGTGGCAAACGTTCATTAGCAGAAAGCGAATTAAAAGACGCGAATGAAGATTATTGCATAACAGTGAGATCAGAACATAATCCAAAAAAGAAACGTCGCTTAATTGGGCAAGAATTGATACATGAATTTTCTCAGTTTAAAGAAAAAACTGTAGACAATAATTATCAAAATACTCCTACACTTATATCTTATGATGAAAACCCAAACAATTTCTTTATCAAACCTATTACAAGCTTTAAACAAGGTATCGTGAAAAGTGGCAATAAGTGTAGTGAATTGCATAGTATTTTGAAAACACGAGTAAATGATGTAACAAAATTTTCAAAAAAATTTTTGGAAGAAGAAAAAAATATTCGTTTTCAATTATCATCTTTTGATAATAAAATTGATGTAGAAAATGAGAATAAAAATGGAATAGATAATTCTTTTGGTCCATTCGAGAATAATATATCAAAAAAGCAGATTCTTAGTAAAGATTATAAAAAATTTTCTAGTAATTTATCACTTCAAGAAAAGATTGATATGAAAAATTTGAAAAAAACTGTAATACACGATTCTGAAATAGAATATACTACAGAAGAAGATTTTTTCTTACCACTTTCAGTACAAAATACTTCTGTTAATTTGACAAAATTGGACTCGTCTGTATTTGAAAAAGATACGCTGGCACTAATATCTGAAAAAGGTCCCAAACCTCGAAAGCATATTATTCGTTCAAATATTGAGAGTTCAAATCTACTACTTACTGAAAAAATATGTAATGAAATTAAAATTCAACCAAACAAAGAAAAAATGAATTTGAAAAATATATTAACTGAAAAAGTTCAATCATTAAAGCAAGAAGCTGAAAACTCATATTTGGTTACTTGTAACAATAATGATTTAGCTTGTTTTTCAAATAGTAAAATAAATGAGTTTGTTCCGAAAATTTCTTCCTCAAAAGTTTGCGATACCCAACTGCAATTTTCACAGGAGCAATGTCAATCTAAACGCAATTTTTTAGATTGCACTACAATTGTTGAAAGTTTAACGCCTATGGAGTCAGCTGATGTAATCGTTGATGCTTTCAAAAACACACAAGAGATAGATAAAAATAATAAATTATTAAATAAATATAAAGAGTCTGCTAATGATTATAAAATGCTCGATACTACGTTGGATATGAGTGTATATGATTTCACTTTAACACAACCGACAGTTGAAGTCGTCAATGTTCGTAATATAGAGTCAGGTATTCAGGAGGAGACTAAGGCTGATCATAATAATATGAAGTTATTAAGTCATATCGATTATGACCAAAACACTAAATCAAGTGGTATATATCATAATAAAATTTATAGTAACGAGGATATTATTGAACTTGTATCATCCAATGATAACTCGCGGTCAAACAATGATGATTGCTTTCAGAGTAGTAGTAGTGATAAAAATAATATTTATCACAATCTTAACAATAGCAACAGTGAATCGGAGTCCAGCGGTGCAGAGTTATATGAAGATATAAATACAATATCTGATAGTTCAGATATTGATGAAGTAGAAATTATTGATGCTAAATGTACACCAATTGAAAACATTTTGGAAACAGAAAAGGACTATGTCAAGCAATCTTCAAACCACCAGCAGACCGACGTTGTTCAATTTTGTGACACACTTGATCCAATTAAACTTTGCAAGCCACATAATACAGATAACCTCTCTACACAAAATGACCACGTCATAAATTTAGATAAATTGAGTGATCAGGGACAACATCCCATAGAATATACAAATAATTTAGATACTAACGTTAAACTAATGAAGTCAAAGTCAAAGGAATTGTTAAGAAATAGAAATAAAAATTCCGAGAATGATGTTAAAGCCAAAACTAATGGAGCAGCAAATGATTTTAAAAAAGATATTAAAGAATTCAAGTCAGCCACAAATCTTAAAAATAAATATGATAAAATGTTGACGTCAAATACATGTTTTACTGAATTGAAAACTGCAGTTTCATTGCCTTTGATTACGAATTCTGAACTAAATTTGGATAATCCACCATTATCTGAATATAATAAGAACATATTAAAACAATCAAAAAAGGCGGCAGAAAATGAGGACGAAGCTCTCATTTCTGAAGTAAACGAAAACACTCAAAATTTTGTATTGGGAATTAGTGAAGATGAGGTTATTGACTATACAAATATTTTAGAGAACAGCCAATATAATAAAATGAAATCAAATGTTGATACTGTGATATCAAACGATACCAATGAGAGCACTAAAATTTTGAATGAAAAACACCATAATTTGTTAATGCAACAAAAAGATGATGATGTGGATTATGCAGAAAAATTAAAAAGCACATTTAAATATAATAATAAAGGTTTATTAAAAGATAACTATAATTCCACCATAGGTCGAAATAAACGAGGAATATCTTTACCGCTACAACACAATTTTAATGAAAATGAAGAAACTAACTATACAATTTGCACTCGCAAAATCCGTGCATCTTCGTTACAGCCGAAATCACCAAATGAACTGAAAATAACTAGATCACGAAGACATTCAAGATCTACATCGATTTCTGTAGACGAAGATGAAAAAAATCGATCGCCAACATTGATGCGTACACAAAACCGTTCTTTACGGAGAAGATCAGTAACTTTAGAATCAATTGTCGAAATTAACCCATTAATAGATTCACCCTCTACAAACACGCGTTCACGAACTCGTTATAGTTCAATTGATAGTGAACTTAATAATATTGAACAAACTTCATTGAAACGTAGGCGTACCAGTTCGGTTGCCAGCCATAAATCTGACCAAACTCCAAAACATACACGTCGATCAGGCATATCTAGTCAAACTGAAGTTCATACACCAAAATCTACTGGTCAACAAGCCATTTCAAAACCTAAAATTATTTGTGATGATGATCCAGATAACAGTCAGCCAAATGACAAAAAAAAAAATGTTAAAAATCAACATTCAGAGGTTTCACATAAAAAATCTAATAGCAGTGCCGAAAGTAGTAAAATTTTATCAAATACAGACATTTCACAGACTACATGCGAATATACAAATGCACGTCGATTAACCCGAGCACAGCTTTCCATTTTAGAAAAATCTTCTGCAACAGCTACAGATGTTTCGTTTGCAGTTACCACCAGAAGAGTCTCGAAAAGAGCTTCTTCCCATAACTCAGTAAACACTAATAACAGCGATAATGCTGATTCAGTATCATCACATATTGATAACTTATCTAAAATAGACGTTCCTCGTCGTATTACTCGTAGTTCAGCCAAGGACAAGGTAAATTACTTTGCATTATTCATTTCATATGCAACATAATTTGCATTTAAATAAATATTTTTATTCCAGGATGAAGTAGATGACGAACTAGTAAGTAATGCCAGTTCTAATTCAAGTAATAAACGATTGAAACAACGATCAAAAGAAAAAATTTCACCTAATATTAAACTAAATACTATACCAGAAAATTAATCGGCGAAGTTAATTTTATTTTATTATATTCTAAAATTTGATATAATTTTTAACTATAAAAGAACTTTGGCAATGGGTCTGTCGAGAAATAGAAATTGACTTTTAATTACATTTGAACACATCTACAAATTGAAAATCTTGTTAATTAAATTATTTAAATAAATTGTTTTTGGAATTAAAAATTATATTATTTACTTAGTTCGTTGACCATTACAGACGTGAGTTGTTGTTGCTGTAGAGCCCAATGGGACCTGTAAAGCAGATAACATGTAAAGTTTACAAGGCGAATGAATGGGTTGGGATGTGGATGGGTGGTGGTTGGAGGAAGGGCAGGTTGAATGAAGGGGAAGAAGTGGATATAATGTGGGTAGGAATTTCAATTGAGCCCAACCTGAACTTTGCTGTATTTTGATCTCTATTCAGCTAGGATTATTCTTGCTGCACTGGGGAGATTACGGAACATGGCGTCGTTAGAATGTCCATCTGTGTGGCACACAAGGAGGTACTGCTTAGACAGCGGTTGATTATGCTCTTTTACAAAAGGCATTTTCGATTCCGCAGAAAAGTGGTCAACATGCGACATATGATAGCAGCCGGTTTCAATCCCTAAGGCCGTGTATTCACCCTACTGAGCACATACATCCAGCTCAGTAGGGTTTTTTGTATTCACTTCAAGAGCAACCTGCGAGCGTTTTTAACACGTTTTGCGAGACTTAAACTGACCGCACATGGCTAAGGCATGTGCAGGAAAGGTCACTGTCGAGAACGGCACCAAGGATTTTTGGTTTGGTGGTTGTGGAGATCCTAAATTCACTGATATTAATGGGCAGAGTCATAGATACCTCTTTGGTTTAGGATGTAAAGAGGGTGGCAGAAGATTTGCTTGGTAATAGGTGAGGATTTCTGTCAGCCAAAACGATACCATATGAGAATGCATTCAGTTCATTGCACATTATAGAAGGGTTTTAGTCTGTAGTAGAGCCAACACTTTGTGGAGTTAAGGACAGATGTTTTGGCTAGGTCGTTTAACAAGGTAATATGGGAGACTGTATCCAATGTAATGATCAATTTTTGCAGCAGAAATAAAATTGATTTTATAGTGATGAGGACCTAGGATAAGGAATTAATTAAAACCACTGAATGACAAATATTTAATGGATATTACCTCGAATCTTCACGGCTGGTCAACAGTAATAATTTCAGTGGAGTTCTGTTGAATAAGATGCTGGAGAAGCTGAAATTATTAGGAAAATATATTTATATGAAATAAGGAAATCTTTGTCAATAGAACAGTAATATTAACATAGATTTTCTGTTAATCCGCCCTACTTCATTTTAAATAAATTTTAATAATTGAAATTAAAAAAAAAAAACGCACCCAAACACATTTATAAAAATCAAAACAAAAATATCAACGAGAAAAATGTCATTTTAATTTGTTTCTTGTATTTTCGTTTTGATCGCCAAAATTTGCAGCGGGAAATAGAAAAAGCTGAGAGTGCAGCTTAAACATTGCAAGGTGAAAGAAAAGAAGAAGCAATAGCAAAGTAATTGAAGGCTTCCAGAAGTCTGGAAATAAAACAACCGAACATCTGGTAAGCGTTCATGGACCGCAAAACGGCTAACTGAAAAGTGTGATTTAAGCAATTAAAAAAAAAAATGGAATAAGAGGAGCAGTCGGATGAGCTTCTTGCTTGTTTGGCTGATGATTTAGAACGGAACGTGTAAAACCCGCGACAGAGTTTTTTATTGTTATAAGTTTTTTTTCCATTTGAAATTGTAATTCGTTCAGTTTTATTAATTATAAACTGCTGTGAACTGCAAATAATATAAAAGATAAATTTTCCTTTTATGTGCATTGTTAAATATACATGAAATAAACGCTGTCTATTTTATGCAGTAATTTGAACATTGAACATTGAATATAGAAAATCGGCTAAATCAAAAGAAAATAATTTCCAAAACCGACATATTCAGAATTAATACCAGCAAATTAAAATATGCAACAATGGTCATAGAAAGTGGCTCAAAGTTGTTAAGTCAAAGTTTATATAAATGGTGGTTTATTTTATTCATAATTTATTTTTTTTATTTAGTAAGTTTTCTTTCGTTCTGTTAAATTGTAAATAAAAAAAAGGGATACTGGACATAAAATTAATTATTAAATTTTTTTTTTTTATCATAGCAGATTTGCCTTGTAGGACTTTTAAATCATAAATAAAGTGGAATGATAATCTAAATTGTTGTATCCCGCATATTAATCTAATACAATTTTTCTGATCAAATTTTGTGAATCTTGCATTAACACCTTGGTATACCTTGAGTATACCCCGGCCTTGGAAATGGCCAGAAGGTCATTACATCACAAAGAGCGAAGGTGGTACTATGACGTTTACAAAATCCTTATTGATAGGAACCTATATGCATATGTGTAAATATCTACTTTAGGACTACTAGAGATAACATGATATCGACTTATATGATAAGATACCGGTCTAGGTCAGCCGGTTTGCCTAGTTTCAATAGAGGGACTACTAGTGTTCCATAAATGCGGGATGATGTGAGAACTGATGAAGGAGTCAAAACTGAAACGCCAATGGTCCCAAGATGTTTTAGCGTGAGCATAGAAATGCCCTCAGGCCCAAGGGCTTTTAGTTCTTGGCTTTTCTGATCATATTGTGCAAATCATCAGGGGAGTACAGCGTGGTGTCGTCGGAATGTGATTTCCAGAAAGCGCGTTTCTATCTGCGAATAGCACAGAATGCTTGGGATCAGGGAAGTTTATCCCATTAAAAGTTATCGCCTTGTTATTGGGATTGGAAGGATTAGATAATTCTTTAATATTTTTCTACAATTCCCCATATCCTCGAAAAATAGAATGGATAAGGTAATTGAAGTGTGATCTGAGCTTAAAGCTATGTCAGCATTCCAATTCGAGGCAGCGAGTAGTCTGAGACGAGCCAGGCTAATATCAGATGAGCTGGAGTAAGTTACAATTACCCTAGTTGATGAGTGTTCATTTAGTACACCAAAAGATGAATAGTCAATTTAGGATGCCACTTGTAGGTCCTTCTGATCGGTTGGTAGGTTCGAAAACTACAGATGATGGTGAGCATTCGAATCACACAACAAAAAACGTAAGTTCTCTTCGAAAAGATGTGTGATATCTGGAGTGACTGCGGGGGAAACTAGAGTTGAATGGCAAGTAGATGTGTACTATATCAATAAATCTAGATGTCCTACTAATGGAAATTTTCAATATAACTTCCATATATTCGTCATTCGACGGGACAGGTCAAGTTCACTATACGAGGTTGAGTGTCGAAACAAAAAGGATATTCCACCTCCTGAGAGATGAGAATTATATAGTAGTTTTTGTCGATGTTAGGTAAGGTCATGAATGCTGCAAATTCAGGCAGTTTCTCTCTAGGGCTGTTTCAGTTACTCTGTAAGATTTGGAGAGAGGCAGAACTGTTGATGGCGGAGACAACACTAGTGCGTTGCGGGTATGAGCGGTTTTGTGGTGGTAGTACTAAGCGTCGTGGTAGGTCACCTAGTTCTACCACGGAAGAATCAAATGTCTTCTACCTCGTTTTCCAACTGCGAGTACCGAATCAAATACTTTTCCTGTGGGAGCATTTTCTTCAATTCGTACGACATCACCAATCCAGCGAAGCCGCTGAATTATACTTATACAGCTCATCGCTTCATCTAATTCGATACACGGTGTCAACACGTAAGACGACATAGATTTTTCGAAGAATTTTTCTCTCGAAAGAGGCTTCTAATGCCTTCTCATCACTGTTGATAATCGTCCAGGAATTTGCACCATACAGCAGGATAGGCATGATAAGACACTTGTAGAGCGCGATTTTTATTTGTAGAGAGAGAGAGCTTTAATTGAGCCATTGAGAACAATTGCCTAATTAGCCCGAAGTACTACCTGTTGGCAAAAGCGATTCTGCGGTGAATCTCTAGGCTGACGTCATTATTGATGTTTACACTCGTTTCCAAAATAAAAAAGTGTTTTCAAACTTTGAACTTATAATTGTCAACAAAGGCGTGAGTCCTAACACGCTCAGGAGATTTGTTTGGTGACATAAAGTACTTTGTTTTGTACTTTTTTGCCACAAGACGTGAGTCCTAAGACGCTCAGGAGATTTGTTTGGTGACATAAAGTACTTTGTTTTGTACTTATTAACCACAAGAGCCATTTGTTTCGCTTGTTTTTCTAAGTAGGATATTGCTGCATTGACTGCACTGGTATTCAGACTAACGATATCAATATCGTCGGCTTGTGTATACACTTTTGTAAAGTATTGTGCCTGTACGGTTTAAATCTAAGTTTCTATATTAAATATATATTTGATATAATTATACTATAGACCTTTTCTTTTGTAAGCATGTCGCAAAAGAAGAACTGTTTATTTTAAAAATAATATATGAAACAACAACAATGCTGGCTTATTTAGTCCAACCTTTTTGAAGTTGCTTAATTCATAAGCAGCTCAAATCACAAAGTTGCTAACACTGAAAATTCGTCTATTGTAAACCATTTTTGGAAGTATATAGCAAAGAATACCTTACAAGAACGGCAACTCGATTGTGAACTGAAATTTTTCGCACAACAACAATTTGCCGCAAATACTTAACAAAAAGTACTTAAAATTGGAAGTACATAGTAGCATATTGTGTTGTTACTGCAAAAAAACTATAATAAACTGTGAAAATAAAGTTTAATATTTATATATACACTACATATACGCGAGCCTTAAAAGTTGTTTTAAGGCTCTTAAAATCGATTTTAAGATCGCGTAAACACCCTAAATTGAATTTTGCTTAAAAGCACTTTTAGCTTACTAAAAGTAGTTTAACATCACTTTTAGTAAGAAATGTCACTTTTACGCTTTGCGTAAATACTTTAAAAGCAGTTTAAGGTTTGAATTGTCAGCTGTTAACAGTGAATAGGTGCAAATAATTTGAATTTTATTACAAATAACACTAACTAAAAATATGGAGAAAAGGGAAATAAAAAGAAAAAATTGAATGAAAGAGGAGGAAGAATGCTTAATTAAAATATTTGCAGAAAAACAAATAATTAAATTGTAAGACGGCAAAAAATATAGAAAGGACACAATTTATGAAATTGTTCGCCAAGAAATGGAAATCAGTGGCT